GGAGTATGCCTGCAACGGCCGGATATTGTGGCCAAAATAACGAATTTGATTTTTGCCTTGTTTCATCATTTGCTCAAAATTTGACAGAGAGCAGCTATTTTCTCTGTTTTCTTAATTCGACCTTTTTATAACTCTTTTCGTGATGATTTTTGCAAATAATTGTTTCGTCGCTAATTTTTCTTACTTATTGTGACATTTCTAGAATTAGAAAAGACTACATTTTTAATTATTATTACGACCGAAGTTTGGAATTTCCTAAAAGAAATCTCAAATGGTATCGCCAATTTATGATTTTATTTCAGCGAAATTGAGCGAAAAAAATGAATGAATGTTGTAATTCCTTCATTTAAAACGAGGCAAAAGAGAAACATTGATTGAGTTAAATCAAACCAACTTCAATTATGGTAGGCTTTGTGCATTTCACTCTCGATCTTTTGAATATTCAAAATTGTATGAAAACTAGTTATGTTACTTTTTGTAAATATCAATATTTGATTAGATTATTTTGTCTTAGTCACACAACAACAATGCTTTTGATGATCAGGCTTCATAATACATTCACCATATAAGTCATAGGCTATTCGTACACAAAAAAACAAGCATCCTTCGGGCCCATTTTTACACGGTTCCGTGCTGTAGCATTTATCTTCTTGCTTTATTTCAAAACCTATATTATAATAATAATAATAATCAAGAGATCAGTATATAAATTCATATAAAATGATAAACAAAAATATGTCAATAAGAAAAAAGTGGTTGCTTCATTATAAGGTAGTACTAGAAGTGTTATCGGATTCCGAGCAATAAACGAAAGGCATGACAAAGAGGAGGGTGAAAACAAATGCGGCAAAATATTTCTTGGTGATAGCCATTTCTGTTATAGTCTCTTAAAGTTCTTACGACTGAGTCTACCACTTACAATGATTATATATAGAAGAATACAAACATACATTAAAAGGTTGTTTGTTTGGTGAAATATGAAAAGGAAAAGAATCTGTAATTTATTTCTCTTGATTTAGTCAAAAGAAAAAATAAAGAGAAAACAATTGTTATCTAATTATGTTTGAACATTAATTAGATAACATGTATTGTTTTACAAATAGTTAAATATGAAATACCTTTTCATTGATTTAATAATTAAAAATAAAATAAAAAGATTTTGCAGGTTTTAATGGTTGTAACTTGAAATTAAATTGAAATTACTGGTAAAGATATGATGTAATAATTTTATTAAAACAGAATTAGGTTATAAAATCATTTGTTTAATATGACTCAAGGGTTTATACACATTTTATTAAATAAATTGAAATAATTTTTTTAAAACCATATTAAAAAATGTTAATTATTTTTATAGCTAAAAATTATCTTTCTAAAGTTAAAACTGATCTTACAATTTTTTGTCTAATAATAATTATTTTTTGTCTAATAAATAATAATTTGATATTGCAAAAAATGTTGAAATATTGCGCAACAAATATAAAATGTAAATTTGGGCTACACTTATTAACCCAATCCAAAAAAAAATTATATGGATTAAAAATTATTCAAACAACAACTAACAGATAGAATAATAATAATACTAATAAACGAATTGTTGTGAAATAATTGAAAAGATACGGGAATGATACATAGATATTTAATTTGTCGTAAATGTTCAAACTAGAGTCTCTCGCTCATCTACTGTAGCGTAGTATCGGTCCATTCCGAATACAACTTTAGAATAATGTTGGCTTTTCTCTCGTTTTTCGGAAATGCATATTCAACTCATCTCAAATCCGGCTATTTACAGTGATAACATTAGAGCAATGTACCTGACGCCACTCCGATTTTTACACTCGGATGAAGTATATTGTTTTAAATTATCACTTCGTCCGCCAATATGTATAAGCAAGCCGGTTATTTTTGTGTCTCTCAAGATGCCTATGCTGATGAACTCATAGATGTTTTAACCAGCTACTTATGTGTGGTCGGTTACATCTCTATGTGTGAAGATTGGCCTAGATTGCTTTCGTTCGTGCACCTTGATTAAGTGGGCGTATTAAAAAATATTCTATGTATATATATATATTTTTTTAATAATATAAATTTTCTTAGAATCTTCCTAATTGGGCTGGACTTTTAAGCCTTACAAGTAACGACCCATTTACAAAAAAAAAACCCAAACTAAGACACTCACCGAAAACAAAAAAGAAAGATCAGACCCTACTGATAGTCGTCTGCAAAGTAACCAGAGTCTTAGATCCGGCAGATCCAAGATATACCCCGCTTCTCTGTAGCCTCGGAAGATCGAAAAAAAATGCTGGAAGAGTCTGGTTTCCAATAACAATCTCTTTCCGCTGACGCACCACATCCGCCAGATATCTTTCGGAAAACTAGCCACCTCGACAGACGGTTCTACGGAGTCAAGTCCTGACCTAGCAACCTGACCCACTTAGGTCTATCCCAATCCTTCCTACTCGAGATCTCTCCAATTAGACCGAGCATGAACACTTCGACCGGACCGGTGGAAACCAAATGCGACTCATCTAGAGGGTGGTGGCTCACCCAAACATCAGAAGACGAACTCCACGCCAGCCAAGCAGATCCAGAGGAGCTGCCGTTAATAACTGCATCAAAACATCGGAACCCACCTTATCGACACCAACTTCTGCCATAGCCGCTGCAACAAGAAGAACGGCTGAGCCTTGAGGATCTTCGAAACACTCCACGGCTAAGCCTTAAAAGATACTCTTCCATCCAAATGATGATTATACTTTTCCATCTTAAAGTGTAATTTTAGTGGTTATTATTGGAACTATATAATTATGTATTTTTTTTAGAATCAATTTAAAATGAAAACAAATCATATATAGGAAAATAGTTTGAGAAATAATGTTAACATCAAATTAATCTATACTATTAATTGGGAATCACTAAATAATAAAAAACCTTTAAGTTGTAAAATATTACATACAATGCCATTGATTTTTTTTTAATATGAAGAAAGAAAAAAAAAACATTTTTTAAATAATCGAAAATAAATTAATAAAATAATAACTACCCAATATTTTTGGAAATAGTTTAAAGAAGATTCCATAATAAATCAAGTTATTTAATTCGAAATTGTATATTATTTTGGTAATATATTATTAGATATTTCTGGCAATCTAATTTAATATAACAAATTATCATTTAATTTAGATCTACATATACATTTCCTTAACAAAACTATGCTAATTAATTCTGATTAGTAGTACACATGAAAAAAAAATGATTTTAATTTTTTATTTTCCAAATATGAAAAAACATTTAGCATATTTCTCATATATAATCTAAACTAACTACTTCCATCCTTTAAAGTATAACCTATTCAACAAATAATTTTGGATTTTAGATTATAAATATCTAGATAATATTTTCAGTTTTGATTAAATTATTTTATATTTTAATTAGAATTTAAATGATATAAATTTTGACTTTTTTAGAAACGGGTAGTTTCATTATTTTAAATATATATCACTAAACTAAATTTGAATTGTATAAAAATATATATTTTTAAAACGTATTATAATAGTTACTATATCTCCAAATTATTTTACTTAGAGCCAAATAAATTAATATATCAAATCAAGTAAATTATTTTATTACATCTCAAATTGTTACAAGCTTTTGGAATATATCTTCTTCGAAATTCGATTATTTTATTTTTTTCAAAAAACATTAAAATATAATTTAAATACCAATGTTTAAATTTTCAATGCAAATACTTCAAAATGAGAAAATATTCATTCACACCAATATTCTTATTTTTTATCAAATTTGAATAGCTTCTTTTCTGGAAACAAACATTAATAGAATTTTTTTAACAGCTCACTAATTGTATTTGAACAATCATAATTACCATATTTGTGATAATACATAAGGATCATAGGAGTTTTTAGATTTTTTTTTAATATTTTCGTCATCATAAATTTAAAATATGCAATTAAGATTAGTATATTTTGTCATCATCCACAAATTAAAACCTAATTTCATGTACAATCTATTTCCTATAAATATTATGCATACATCCACGCCGTTGATTATCTCACAATTAATCTAAGATTGTCTTATAAATACTATATAAAATAAATTTGTTTACATCAATCTAACCTATATTATATTTTTTTCTATTAAGATTTTTTTTTCTAATTTACTCTTCAATTTCAAACTCCAAAATTTGACCTATGGTTCACATCATTAGCTATTGTGTCATAAACATTATAAAAGCATTTTACATTTTTCTGTGCACATTATAATATATATATACAACAATATATATCACCAAAAACAAAATATTTTATATTTACAAAAAGTTTATTACAACACATTTTCTTAAAATAAGAAACCCCGCACGTACGTGCGGGTCATTATCTAGTTTTTTTATTAAAAGAGTTGTTGTATACAAGTATTTTCCTACACATGACTTGGTTTTATAGTTGGATACTGTAATGTGTGAGTCCGTATGATATAATTACATGATCGTTTATACCGGATTTGTTTTTGTTAAAATTTCAAATTTATTAATTGATCAACAAAAATGATTATGTACAAAGACGAATAAAAATGAAAATAATAGGACACCAAAGCTAAAAAAATAAAAAATAAATAAGTAGTTGATCCTTCTCGCTTCAAATCATTTCTGAAGTAAGCCCCCAAGTTTATGGGGGAGCCTTATAGTTCAACAAGGAGAATCTATTACGAAACATAGCTTTGTCTATGATTCTTATAATCAAACTAAAGTTTTTCTTTTTTTCTTTTTATGAAATGTAAATTCCAGTACTAATTAAAATAAAAATTACTAATAAGTAATCTATCTAGTCAAGAACTTTAAGGAATTGGTTCATTTTTTAAAAGAGAAGAAATACATACTAAGTGGTGAATTTTTGTTTGATTTGGTGAGTGAGAGACAATAACTTTATATTTCGTCATATAACATTATTCCCTATATATAAACACATTTGATTATAAAGATTATTTTCATCTAATTGTCTATTTTTCTTTAAAAACATTAATTAAAGTAAACAGTAGCGTTTAGTACCTAGTGAATTTTAAGATTCCATTCTTAAAGTTAATGCAATGCATTGCTACTCTAGGAAAGACATTACCAATAGATAAGTGATACTCAACATGGAAATAAACAAGAGGTAGAAATGAATTCTTCTCTCTTCTTGAACTTTACTCTTCAGTTGTTTTTGGGTTCTCTTCAGTTGTTTTTGGGTTCTCTTCATTGATACTTCAACAATTTCGTAAATTTTAAGGTATTTTCTTTCTTTTCTTTTTTTGTTCTCAGTGATAATTCTGCAAACATAGAAATATTGCTCCTGTTGTTGTTTGGAACGTAGACGAGAATGGATTTTGTTAAATGGGTATCCTCAAAGATTCGTAATTTACTTGTAAATTGTTCTTTCTCTACATTTTTTTTGGTTTTTATAAAGTGTTTTAGAACATGGATCTTACTGTTAAGTTTGCAGTTGCAAAAATCAAGTTGTTTTTTTTTTTACTGTGCAAGAAAATTACGAAAATTTATATGATCTTTTGTTGTTTGTCTATTTCAGCAGTATCATTGTTTCTCTGTCAGTGTTTAAAAGTTAGGTACACTCGAATTCTCTTGTAATATTTAATATCGCCTTTCGTTTTCAGGATTTTGACTTGGCAAACAGAAAAATGTTAGGTTGTTGTTTTTTGTTCTAATTTAAAACTCTTGTTTCGTATTGGTGTTGTTACATAAGAGACTAGTGTTATCTCCTGTTTGGATTATTCTTTCTCTAGCACTGTTACATGTTTCATTTTAAGATCATTCATAGTTTTTTTTTTTTTTTTCCTGATTGTTTCAATTGGCTTTGTTTCAGGTACTTAGAAAACGCTGTAGAAGATGGCGATTGTGTCGTTGCGCGATGTGGCTGTGATGATGGTAGTGGTGCTGGTGACTGTGCAGGTGTTTGCACAAGGGTATCCGGAAGCAGATTTGGTTGTGAGGCTTCCAGGTCAACCAAAGGTTGCGTTCAGACAATACGCCGGGTATGTTGATCTCGACTTGAATGCTGGACGTAGCCTTTTCTACTACTTCGTCGAGGCTGAAAAACACCCTGACACAAAACCGCTAACCTTGTGGCTCAATGGAGGTTCGTGTTAAGTTGTTCTGTTTTGGCATTTGGGTATAAAAAATGTGTGAGTTAGATTTCTTAGTTGAGGTTTATATTGCAGGTCCAGGTTGTTCTTCAGTTGGTGGAGGAGCTTTCACTGAGCTAGGTCCATTTTACCCCACAGGCGATGGCCGTGGTCTCCGCGTTAACTCCATGTCGTGGAACAAAGGTCTGATTTTGATCATGTTATGCAAAAACAGAGAACTGTGATCATAAATCTGATGCTATTGTCTCTTGTTTTGAAATGTGTAGCATCGAACCTGCTGTTTGTGGAGTCACCGGTTGGAGTTGGATGGTCTTACTCCAACCAAAGCTCTGATTACAACACCGGTGACAAGTCTACTGGTAAACTTTAAAATCTTATTTTCAGATAATCTGTAATAGACAGTCACTCTGAATATATTTGAAGACTGTTGTGCTTGAGATATCTTTTTTGTTTAAACAGCCAGCGATATGCTCGCGTTCTTGTTGGGATGGTTCGACAAGTTCCCAGAGTTCAAGTCTCGCGACTTCTTTCTCACTGGTGAAAACTATGCAGGTGTGTCTTTGATATGGATGAAGTCTATTGATTGGATTTTGGACATTGAAAACAGAACTATTATTCTCACATGTATGTATTCTTGCAGGACATTACATACCGCAATTGGCTGATGGGATACTCAGCTACAATTCACACTCAAGTGGGTTCAAATTCAACATCAAAGGCATTGCAGTAAGAACATGAACCTTCTCTCTAATGTTCCATTAACTCTGTTGGTTCTCTTCTGATTCCTTTGTGTGTTTTTTTTTCTCTTTCTTGTCAGATTGGGAATCCATTTCTGAAGCTTGACAGAGACACTCGAGCTGCATTCGAGTTCTTCTGGTCGCACGGGATGATCTCTGATGAAGTGGGACACACAATCATGAGTCAGTGTGACTTCTCACATTACACAGATGTATATCCGCGTAATGTAAGTGTTCCATGCAACGACGCTATCCGTGAAGCCGGAAACAGCATCACTGAGTATGTCAACAACTATGATTTTCTTCTTGACATTTGCTACCCCTCAATTGTCCTCAAAGAACTAAGGCTTAAGCAAATGGTCAGCCGTTTTCCATCTTATGTTCCACCAACAAAACTTTTGTGTGAATTATCTGTAAACTTTTGAAAATGGTTTCAGGCCACAAAGATGAGCATGGGAGTGGATGTCTGTTTGACCTACGAAAGACAGTTCTATCTCAATCTCCCAGAGGTACAGATAGCGCTTCACGCGAACCGCACTCATCTGCCATATTCATGGTCAATGTGCAGCAAGTAAGTTCTTTTTCTCTCTTTAGTTTCTGAAAATGAAGAATCTTTATAACCAGAGTTGAACTCTATACTCTGATTGGTTTCACTTCGTGTCACAGCCTGTTAAACTACTCTGGCATCGATGCAAACATCAACATGCTTCCGACTCTGAAGAGAGTTATACAGAACAAAATTCCTGTTTGGATCTTCAGGTAATACTTCTATTAAAAATCCCTTTTATTTCTTACTACACCTGTATTTGTACTTAACACTCAGCTTGTTGACAATTGCAGTGGAGATCAAGATTCTGTAGTTCCATTTCTGGGATCACGAGCTGTCGTACGAGAACTCGCAAACGACCTCAATTTCAAGACGACAGTTCCATATGGAGTGTGGTTCCACAAAAGACAGGTAGTTTGCCTACACACCATTAAACAATCAGCAAAATTCTCAAACTGATTGTGAACTAAATTGTGTATGTTTGGGATTTTGACTAGGTTGGAGGTTGGGCCATCGAGTATGGAAACATACTCACTTTTGCAACAGTGAGAGGAGCGGCTCATGCGGTGGCGAACTCGCAGCCCTCACGAGCTCTGCATCTATTCAGCACCTTTCTTCGTGGCCATAGATTGCCCAACAAGACCGATATAGCTATGCATGATTGAAAGAGAAGGAAGCTCATTATTAGAGTATATAACCTTAAGACATAATTTTTCCTACGATTATTAGTAACAAGACTCGTCTCTTGATTATGATAATGGTTTAATGATGTAAACGATACATAATCTCCACTCAGAACCGTTGACATAAAAAAAAAAAAGGTACTGCTTAAGTTCCTTTGCAGGTTTGGCCTACTTGTATCATCACCAAACCAATATCCTTGCCCTAGACACCCATCTCAACAACATTCCTCTTCGGTCTCAACTTATGGACCATAGGTGCAATGTTGAGCATCTTGAACATTTGGGCATTTTGTGCTTGCAGCTGAGATCCCAGACTATCACACTCACCAATTCGAATGCATATAGGCCTCAGATTTAGGAATCTCGAAAGCATTTGGCTCTACGATGACAAATAACACCTGAATGATGCAAAGAAAATTAAACTGCTAAGTATCATTAGATTGTCTATATGTTAATGGAGTCCTTTAAAAATAGAGTAACATGACAGATTGACATTTCTGAAACATTTAGTCATTGAACAGGGTACCAAACATGCTGCATTTGTAATAACTTTAATTCAGCAGATGAGCCTCAGTGAGGGAAGTCTTATAGAGAAATAGGAAAGTTGAAAAGAGAGAAGGAAACCAATCTTATGACTCTAATGGTGCAGTAAAACGAAACATCTCTATCCTTTCTCCTCTAAGTATAACAAAGCAGACAACGCATATCAAAACAAGACCCGAGTAAGAAACTAATTACCAGGGAGATGGAATACATGTTGGAGAGAAGACCAGACTGCAAGATCATAGGCATGTTCGAGGTGTAAAACAATTTAATAGGATAAGACCCTTGCTGGTAACAAACATTCTCTGATCTTGCGGGCAAAACAACACAGATCGAAAACTGCTTGCCCGAGTGTACAAATGAGAAGGTAGATCCTCCATAGAACCAAAACTCCTATATCTTATTTGTATCATATTTAGTCTATTCTTCTATCAGATTAGTCTTGTTCTTCCGATTTATTTCGACACGTTTCTTCTGCCCATTCCCTCCCTTAGTTCCCCAGCCACAAGCCTGTCGATGCCTTGATGACATCTACAATGAACTACCCGATTCGATTATGTCGTTCTTTGAATACCACCTAGTCTTCTAACGGTGGCAAACATAGTATCTTGTAATCTGTGTACTCAAAGTTGTTGCAGCAACAATTATAGAAGATTATAGAAGATTAACTTAATGCTCCTTGTATTGCCTCCCTGCTTGTAAATCTGCCATTACAAACCTAAACTACTTAAGCTTGCAAGACTTCAGAGACTTTCTCTTTTACTGCAGTCTATACCTCATAAGCAGCATTCTATCAAACACCAGATAGGCATAGGATCGAAGGTTACAATCCATTGATGTCAACAGCTTTTGCACTACCTCAGTACAAGATTTTATTGCTTGTAAGATCATCTTCGACTGTGTTCTTCTATAAACTCTCGTCTCGGACTATAAATTGGAACAGTTTATTCTCCTTCTCTTTCAGAGGCAATATATCGAACACTTGGCATGCACTTTCCATCAACAGAGCAACTTTTTTTGTTCTGGAACTCCACGTTATAGAATATAGACTTTTTTTTTTTTTTTTTTCACTGAAAGATTGATATATATTTCATGATTACGAGCAATCATACAAAAAAGGTTAACGGATCAAAGACAATCATTGTAGATCAACCCCAATGAGTATTACACTAAGCAATACTACTTTCTTTTTCAAAAAGATGTTTTAACCATAGAGGAAACCCGGTTGCTACGTACGATTGGCGGCGATCCTCTTTTGTTACACTTCTGGCTATTAGATGGGCTCCAAGATTTGAGCTCCTTTCTTCACCAACCAGTTTCCAAACCAAAAAATTCCTTAAGAGATCAGTCAAAAGAATGCCCTGAAACTTAAAAGAAGGCCAAGCTGGTGGTCTTAAAACAGCACCTATGAGTTCCTTGTCCTCAGAACCAAAAATTATCTTGTCAACATTTAGGCTTTTCATACTCTCCAAAGCCCATTGCCAACAAACAATGCTAGCGTCGAGTTTGCTATTCACCTCTGCAAATGACCTTCTAGCATGAGACAACACATCTCCAAACTCATTTCTAAGAACCCACGCAGCTCCTCCAATTCTTCCAGTTCTGTCCCATGATGATCCAACATTACATTTTAACCAATCATGAGGGGGAGGAGCCCATTTCACTTTAACAGGAGCCGGAACAGGCTGCTAGCTCCAACAAGTTCTCTCTGTTCTCAAGCATTTGAGCATAAAACCATTGATTAGCATCTTCTTTAATCTTAGCAACCGTTTCAGTAATCACAAACCTTCTTCCTTCAAAGAAAAACCGGTTCCTATTTTTCCAAAGCTGCCACAAAATCCATGGAAAAGATCTTCTAGTCTCCAAAGGAATCAGATTATTTTTGGCAGATACAAAAAGATAGAAGAAGTTGTGGTAAAGTGAATGAGAGTCAAAACCTTCAGCAGGAAAGGGAAAGTTTGACATAGCCCAAGTCTGTCTTGCTACCGTACAGTTAAATAACACATGATTTGAAGATTCACCTTCATGCCCGCAGCTCTGACATCTTGAGTCCACTTTAAGTCCACGACTCATCATTTTATCAACCACAGGGACAGCACCACTAATAACTTTCCACATGAAGTTCCTGATTTTAGTGGGAGTGAGACTTTTCCAGATTAAGTCTTTAATCGGTTGGATGGAAGGCTGCATTTGAAACTCACAAATCAAATCAGCCTTTTCTCTTTGAAAAGCAAACCAATAACCAGATTTAACCGAGTATTCTCCACTCTTAGTATGTTCCCACACGTGAAAATCTTCAGAGGAGATGACCGGTTTGATTTTTAAGATCAATTCAACATCTCTGGGGAAGAAATGCTCCTGTAAAGACTCCAAATCCCAAGTACCAGCAATTGGATCCAACATATCTTTTACCTTCATATCCAAATCAAAAATGATGTTTCTCATGAGTGGGGCTCTCATAACACCATCCAAAATCCATCGAGCAGTCCAAACAAAAGTATCTTCCCCATCACCAATCATCTTTCTAAGACCAAGATGTAGGAGATCTCTACCATGAAGTATGCTCCTCCAAGCAAAGGAGGGTCTATCTCCCAAAGCAGCTTGAAGAAATGTGCCTTCCTCAAAATATCTGCTCTTTAAAAATCTTGCACACAAACTGTCCTTATCCTGCAAGATTTTCCAGGCCTGTTTGGCAAGCAAGGCCTGGTTAAAGACCTGGATATCTTTGAACCCTAGACCACCCACATGTTTGGGAAGACACAACTTGTCCCAGCCTATCCAATGCATCTTCCTTTTGTCTTCAGTAGAGTCCCACCAGAAGGCAGCCATAGCCGCAGAGAGCTTATCACAAGTGGTTTTTGGCAGTTTAAAGCAGGACATAGCATATACTGGCATTGACATGGCAACAGCTTTGAGCAAAACTTCCTTACCTCCTTGAGATAGGGTTTTTGCAAACCAACCAGACATTCTAGCTTTCATTTTGTCATGTATGTAGGCCAACAGATCGACTTTGGAGCCACTGAAGCACTCAGGCAAACCAAGATATGAACCAGCTCCTCCTTCACTGAAAATCCCCAATTTCTCTTGAATTTTCCCTTTATCCAGCTGATCAACATTAATCCCAAAGGTAATGGAAGATTTATCAAGATTAATGAGTTGGCCTGTGACCTTACCATATGAAGAGAGGATGTTTTGGACAACTTCACATTGATCTTCCTTCGCTTTGAATAAAAACAAGCTGTCATCCGCAAATAAAAGATGGTGAATTGCAGGGCCATCAACAGAGAACTGAAGTCCATTAATAATTCCGGCCTGTTCAGCTTTGTTTAGCAGGTGAGTTAGTCCTTCAGCACATAAGACAAACAAGGATGGTGATAAGGGGTCACCCTGTCTTAAACCCCTTTTTGGGTTAATCAAACCAAAAGGCTGCCCATTGATCAAAACAGTATAAGTCACCGAAGTTACACAGTACATGACTAAATCAACCCATTTTTGACAGAAGCCTAAAGCCAAGAGAAGATCTTTTAAGTAGCTCCATTCCATTCTGTCGTAAGCTTTGGACATATCCGTTTTAACCGCCATAAATCCCTTAGAAGTCGCCGGATGAGTCCTCAGAGCATGTACAGCTTCATGTGCAATCAGGATATTATCAGATATGAGTCTACCAGGAACAAATGCAGACTGATTCGGTGAAATGATCCCATCAAGGAGAGGCTTGAGACGAGAGACCATGATCTTGGATACGACTTTGTACAACACTGAACAAAGGCTAATAGGCCTCAAATCACTCATCAAAGGCGAGTTAATCTTCTTTGGAATTAGACACAGTTGCGTGAAGTTCCACTCTTTTGGAAAAACACCATCCTCAAAGAAACCAGTGACCTCTTTAACAATTTGACTCCCAATTATATCCCAGTACTGTTGAAAAAACAGTCCAGTCATTCCATCCGAACCAGGGGCACTTGAAGCCTTGATGGAAAAAACTGCATTCTTTACCTCTTCCTTAGAAACCTTCCCAATCAACATCTCATTCATCTCATCAGTTACTCGAGGCGCAAAACCATCTAGGAGATCTTGGGAGTTGGAAGGATCAGAAGAGGAAAACAGCTTTTGAAAGTAAGAGGCAGCCACATCACCTTTAGAAGCTTCTGACTTATGCATAATCCCATTATCATCTAGCAACTTAGAAAGGCCATTCTTTGATCTTGTGTTCTTCACGGATGCATGAAAATACTTAGTATTTTTGTCTCCCGCATGAAGCCAAGTAGCAATACTCTTCTGTTGCCAATGACTTTCCTCCTCTCTATAAGCTTCTACAAGGCTGTTCTTCAATTGATTAATCCTGATAGAGAAAGGGCAAGCTGCAGATTGGACAAATTCTAAATCATTCTCAAGAGCAGTAATTTTGACCTTAGAGTTCAAGTCATTTTCCTTCTTCCACTTGCTCAGTGCTTTCCTACACTTCCTCAAACGAGTAGAGACACCATCATCAGCAGAGTTAACAGAGGAGTTCCAAGCAATGGTAATCGCTTCTTTCACCAAAGGCTTATGAAGCATACGCTTATCAAACCTGAAAGACCCTTTATAAGAGGCTTGAGA